TATCTTCACTATGTTCCCTATATTTTAGTATACCGTCGGCCTTACCGAACTTATTTTTTTCAATTCTTAATAAATACATAGTTCCCTTCCACATGTCCCTACAAAATGTTTTTTTTTAAGTCCACGCCTACTGGTACCGGTTCAATTTTACTACAAAACTGACCCAGAATACCGAATAATAGGGTCCCGTCACATATGGACAACCAGAAAATATAGACCGATATCGATGATTTTTGTATGGAGATTTGATACAGTCAATTAGTACCATCCGATCAAAGTGCCAAATTATACCATAAATATTGCGGCTCTATCGACGGACACGACTAAATAGGCATTAAATTTTAATCTGAGTATATAAATCCACAATGTATGCAATATAGTATCTTTTAGTGCACGTAAGTTCAAATTTCCATTACTATCATAAAATCCAATAGAAATACTATTTCCCAATTAAGGGATTCATGCCCTATGGGTTCACCTAAAATCCAAATTGTACCAAATTTAGTGTCATTTAGTACACATTTCAAAAAACTTCCTACATACCAAATCGTACACCGCAACAGTGTTCCTAACTCCAAATTTCAGGATTCGAGGTCTATCGGTTCATCCAAAACTGAAATTGTACCAAATTTTGTACTATTTCGTGCACATTAGAACGTATTTCCAAAAGTACCTACATACCTCAATTCTATATTGCAGTAGTAATCTTATTTCCAAATTTCAGTGCTCTAGCTCTATCGGTTCACCCAAATACAAATTTTACCAAATGTATACAAGTTTCCAAAACTACCGACAAATTCCAATTCAAACTCAAATAGTACCAAATTTAGTACTTTTCGTATACATGACTACACACTTCCAAATCCCCCTTCTTATATCGACCTTCTCCCAACCTTGATTCGCATTCCAAATTTTAAGTTTTTAGCACTATCAGTTCTATGGTGCGAAATTGTACCATATTTTGTACACTTTAGTTATTTTTGGATATTTAGTTCGAATTTCCTTTAGTACATCTATACCACATTCCATCAGTGATCCTCATTCCAAATTTAAGAGTTCTAGCTCCACCAGTTCGCCAAATACAAATGGTACCATATTTAGTACTTTTTAGCTCTTTTCATGCCGTTTTAGCACGACTATCCAAAAATCGAGCATTGTCTGACACCAGCGGACTAAGAGTGAACCTCGCCCGCAATTTTAGGATTCTAGGTTCATCCTTGTCTGGGCGTTGATGAATCGTTGAGTCAATCACTTTACTCTTTTATTAATATAGATTATGTCTGGTACCTTCCCGGAAATTGTCACAATTTTGAAAAATTTTAAAGTTTATAAAATAATTCTCCGCAAACCAAAATCGCATACAAGAGTGAGGATAAGTGTATATTACATATGACATAGACTGAGACCTCCTTCCAATTAAGAAATTCAATATATCCTAAATAATTTAAATTTCGAGATACATACACATTTTGGAAAATTTTTTTGGACCTTCAGATTTACAGACATTTTTATTTGACCCCGAATTATTTATTTCCTTCCAATTAAGGCAATTTAATATCCAAATAATAAACACAAGTGCCCTTTCCTTTTTAAATACTTTTTATTTGTCCGCAATTTCCTCTTTTCGTCTTGCCAATAGAACAACATTTTCCAAGGTAACATCTCTCTCGACATAATAATACAAATCGGCATCGTAGGCATTCTGTCGAAGATATTCCAAACGGGCATAATCCAAAATTCGTTTACACATAAAACCAATTGTTTCCCGCTCCGCCAACGACAATCTTTGATTTGATTGAATTTCTTTTATCTCCACTTCTGAGAGGTTTTGTTCTTCCAAAGCTTTACGCCTTTCACGACTCATACCGGTGCCACATATAGCCCAGCTAACCATTTTTGTAATAATGGCAAATTCTCTTGGGGTGACTTCGTGTCTCTTAAAGAACTCCTTGCCAACAAATGAAGACCAATCACAGCGATGATGACAACAAACTGCAATCATAATTAAATCAGTCAAACATTTCGCGGTAGCTGCTTGGATAATACATCTCAGGGATAGATCAGTAGCTCCTCCGCATAAATGTTTCGACACAGCCACACAATGTTTAGACGTTTCTAAGGCGGGTAATTTTTCCAATTTAAAATCAATAATATCGGCACGTATTCTCTGCACCAATGAACGATCTTCAATTTTGTTGTCCTTTTTATGTCGCAACGACATACGATCCACCAATACCACTTGTGAGTTTTCCATATTTTCCAACAGCTTTGAAAGATAAAATGCCAATTGTCCTTTACCAGCTCCAAACTCTACAAAACTAGTCGAGTTTTGTATTGTCTGTTCCTTGTCAAGTATACCCAATAGGGCTGCTGCTTGCAACAAATGCTTGCGGGACTCTTTACCATACTCCTCCTTGGCCAGCTCTTCGTCCATACATTTGTGATGATAGTCCAGAGATTTAATTTTACCTTCAACATATTTACTGTATAGGTCCTTTACTTTATCTATAACTTTATAGAATTCAGTATCTTCTAATTCTGACAGTTTAATGGCATTTAATTCGTCGGGGGTTAATGCATCTTCCGCTACCCCAGCATTCACATTCTTTTGAATGTACTCCGGCAAATCTTCCTTTGGCTTGGCATTACAAATTTTCAAATGCTTCTGCAGGTTCTTTTTGTAGACGGTGTGTTTGTCATCCAATGGACATGGTATTCTATCTTGATCTTCTGGTGATTTTCCTGCTTCGAGCTTGACCGCCGGTGCATGTTCTCCACAATATTCCTTTCCCTTGGCCACTGTCATTTTACAAAACCGCTTCTTACGTTGCACCCAATGTTTGCAAGTCTTTTCTTCGGCTGTGGTTTGTGGGATATCTTTAGGCACTTCGCCAGTTTGTGCCTCGGAGTCGGTAGTCATCTTTGGTTTTTTCGTTGGTTGTTCACTTTCAGACATTTAGGGGATATTATAAATTATTTATTGCACAAAAATCGGGATGATACCAATAGAGAAATAGACTTCCTTCAGCAAAACAAAAACAAACGTGGATATAAATCAGCTGATTGTTGTACAGTGTTGCCAATACGTGTGTTAAGTGTATGTGACAACATATTGTTGCCAGTTAGGAGAGTTTTGATTGGATGTGGGGAAAAAATGGGGACGTATTATAAGGCCAAGGTCATTGGAGGAATTTGAGTCAGACCAATTAGCGTGGATATTTTTTAAACAGCTATCGCAACAATATGCGTGGATTTCTAATAACATTTTTTTCAAGAATAATCTCAACAATATCATTGACTTTCAAACAACGATATATGGTTCCAAAGTTCCAAAAATTGACCAATATTTTTTATATTCAAAAATTTGCCTTTTTGGTCACCTCTCAGAACAATCTGACATAGGTAGACTTTTGTTTCCTGATTACAACAACATAAGTTTTTTGGGAAAAACGTATAGTTCCCGAGATATGAAGTTCTAAAAATGACCCAGTTTTGACTATTTTTTATTCAAAAATTTCCTTTTTTGGCCACCTCTCGGAATAATCTGAATTTTATAGCATATCTAGCCTATGGTTTCCTAACTACAACAACATAACCTTTTGACAGAATCTCCTAAATAGAATATTTTTTGGGTGGCCGGCCTTCGGCGGGGATTGAAGACTTTCTTCTATGGACAGAAACCAACTCGGGCTACGCCAAAGAATTTCCTTGTTTTTGTAGGATTCTAAGACCCATATATTTTGATACACAACAGATACAGCCACATATCGCACCATTTTGGAAAGGGCAAAATGTAGTCTTTAATTTAAGTCAGTATTGGAGAGGGACTTTATTTCGACTTTTAGGGAGTTTAAAAAAAACACACAATGGAAAAACATTTTCATACGATGTACCCGAACTTCCGGGTCAAGAAAAAATATATCCCCAAAATTAGGTTTATTAGGTAGGTATTTCTACCTCTGTAAAAAAAATGATCGCTTTTACTAAACTTAAGTTAAGCCCAAAGGTGTGACTTTCCTAACTTTGGATAGCCAGGAAGTATACATTTCCCATAAAAATTGTGAAAATTTAAGATTTGTAGAGAGGTGGCCTTAAAGGAAATAGGCGTGATTTTTTAAGAAACAATAGGGGTAGATCAAAGAAAAAAAGTTTTTCGAGAATAATATCAATAAAAGGCGAGGATATTTATACACTCCACTTTAATAAAATACAGATTTTTTACTGGAGGCTTCAGACTTATTTAATAAGTCTGGCATATCCCCCATATAAAAGTCCCAATTGATTTTGGTATTTGGATATTAGTAATGTCCACCTGCTAGTGGAGTTAACCCGAACCAGTTAGCTTTGATTTTTACTCCCTCCGGCTTATGACTAATGATGGTATATACACTTTGACACGGCAAAAATGTGCCTTATCGAAATATTGGGAGCCGATTTACAAATGTCGTCTATCTGGCTGGCTGGTGCGGACGATAACTCTCCAAACTTTGAACATCGTAATATGTGTACCAAACTTAGTTCATGTTCGAAGATCGGTTCACTCCTTATAGTGCCACCCCCCCCCCACAACGGTCAAAATTGTTTTAAAAATTATAAATAATTATTATACGAACGATCCGATTTGAACCAAACTTTGTACAACCTATTATCTTTACTGAGCCTAGATGGGACCAATGTTTTAGTGTTCTTGAGTGTTGAGAATTACTTATCACCCCCATCCTTATGGCTAATGAGGATATATAAACTTTGATAAGACAAAAATGTGCCTCATCGAAATATTGATTTTAGATCTCATGTTTCTTTGGACCAAATCCATTTAAGACAATTTGGAGTCGATTTACAAATGTCCTTCCGTCTATATTGGCGGCTGGTGGCAAAATCACTCTCGAAGGGAGTAACCGATTTCAGCCAAACTTTGGACATCGTTTGTAATTATATTCGCAACTTCTCGAAATATTCAATGGCTACCTCAGATCAGAAAAAATTTCTGGGCCAATTTAATGTCCGCTAAAATAGAGGACGGAAAATGTAACAGCGATCGTAATTCCAAACAGCGATCGTAATTCCAAATTTTAAAACTCCAACTCTTTCGGCTCACACAAAATACAAATTGTACGAAATTAAGTACATATAAGAACCAATTTTCTCTCATTTCCTAATTTCAGGATTCCAGACCAATTGATTCATCAAAACTCAAGAACTTTCTACACCCAAATAGTGATTTTAACTCCAAATTTCAAGATTTCAGCACTATCGGTTCACCTAAAATTCAAATTTTACCAAATTCAGTACCATTTTGTACACATAAGTGGTATGTTCCCTTACTGCAAGAATCAAATAATTTTTACTATTTTCCTCGATATCATAAAGGAAAATTTGTTGTCGTAGTAAAAAATTGTAATTTTATATCAATGGAGTAATAATTTTATATCCAAATTTCTGTGTCCCAGCTCTACCGATTAACCCAAATCCAAATTGTATTGAATATAGTACCATTTTGTATTTATCGTACACATAAGTACAAATATCCAAAACTACCTACATATCCCAATCCTACACTCCGACGGTTATTTTAGTTTCAAATTTCAGGATTTCAGCTCCACTTGTTCCTGCAAATTCAAATTGTACCAAATTTAGTACCGTTTAGTACTTTTCGTATACATGAGTATACACATCCAAAACAACCTCCTTATATCGACCTTACTTCCCGACCTTGATTCGTATTCCGAATTTCAAGTTTTTATGTCTATACGTTCACATGCTACGAAATTGTTCTAAATTTAGTACATTTTTGAACTTTTCGGATACATATAGTTCGAATTTCCAATTAACATTTTGGTATATTTATCCTACACTTCAGCAGTGACTTTCACTCCAAATTAAAGAGTTATATTTCCAACCGGTTCGCTAGATACAATTGGTAGCATATTTCGTACTATTTTGTTGTACGATTTATCTCCCATAGCAGTGTATACCCACTTCTGAGTTTTAGTGTATTTTCAAAAATTACCCTTAATTGATGATCTGGCAACGCCAAACAACTGTCATGCGGCAAAACACAAAATATAGCAGCGAAGAAGAATCAGGAAGAAAACAGCGTCTGCCAAATTTACCATAAACGTTTACAAAATATTATTAAATTGTTGCAAATTTAAACAATTGTGTTCCAACAAAAGGCTGATAAACTTATTCAATAAAAATGTAAGTCAAGTCCCCACCAATTTTTATTGTTTTTTGAACCCCAAAATAAAATCTAACCTAACTTTCTTTCATTATTGCTGGCGCTGTTTGTTTACACAGGGCTCTTGTTAAACCTAAATCAGAATTGACACCCGAGGAATTGGCACGTCAGGAAGAGGAAGAATTCAACACGGGACCATTGTCGGTGTTGACCCAATCGGTTAAGAACAACACTCAGGTGTTGATAAATTGTCGCAATAACAAAAAGCTATTGGGACGTGTTAAGGCCTTTGACCGCCACTGCAACATGGTATTGGAAAATGTCAAAGAAATGTGGACAGAAATACCACGTACAGGCAAGGGCAAGAAGAAGGTGAAACCCGTAAACAAGGATCGTTTCATATCGAAAATGTTCTTGAGAGGAGATTCTGTAATTTTAGTTCTAAGAAATCCACTGGCAACGGCTGGTGGAAAGTGAAAAGAGTGGAGGACGAGAATTGATCTATTTTAAGTAACATCATCTATATGAAATAAGTAACAAAACTCAAGGAAAACAACTACATTTTTCTATGTAATGCAAAACAATTGAAATAATTTTATAATAAAATTCTTTTCTTATCTAAATATAGTACATAATTCGTGATATTTTTAAAAACGTATATGAATAAGAAGAAGAGGACCGTTACTGGCCAGACAATTGCTTGTGTAATATGGGCACATATTCATCCCATTGGGCCTGATAGAAATTACCAGCAATTGGTGCACCTAAATTGTATTTCTCAGCAAATTTGGCTGCCTTGAATTTGGGACGATCTTGGCGATAATTATTACCCACACGAGCTTCATCAAATTCCAATTTTCCCGATTGTTTATACAAAAGAAATACATAACGATGTAAACCGGTACCCTTTGGTGGTCCCGAACCTATGTAGGCAGCCAACACCTCTCCTTGGTCAATGTGATTACCGGGTATATTAACAACCAACCAATGACGGAATTCCCGAAATTTTGGATCAGTGCGACTGGGTGCATCTGGATCGGTCATGATAAGGGTATAATATACATCATCTTCGGCATCCCATTCCACTGTGGGTTGATTCTTCACTTGTGTTGGTGTCAATTCGTTGCCTTTGTCTGCCTTCAAACCATTGTCATAGGATACCTATTATATAAAAGTTTAAATAATGAATTCAATTTCGTGTCTCTAGCTCAAATGCAATTAAAACAATTACCTTTAGAAAATGATGTGGAGCCTCATCGATAACATCGGGAATTATTTCATTATCTTTAAACACGGTCTCAACTTCATGATTTGCTGCAACCAAATTATTAATGGCAACAAACATCACTAGCCCACAGAACAGAACAACCTTCTCGAATGCCATTTGTAGTGTTAATAATTTGTCTGGTGAATACAAAATTTTGTTTTATGGTTGTAGTTTCTCCAATTGGAAATGCTTCACCTAATCAAAACAATTGAAAACCGGTTTCCATAAACTTGTGATTGAAGAGAGAGCTTTTTTCTTGTGTTATCAAAAGGCAGGTTCAAAAATCATATTTACACTGTTTCCATGCAACAAAGGAAAAGTAAAGAGTGGTTTTTGTTGTGACTAAGAATAGATAGCTAATTACTTAAACGTCAGTGAACAAAGAAAGGTAAATTTCCTAGAATATAACATTTACTTAGCATTGGGAAATGTATGAGTTTTTGCAAATCAAGTATTTCGTAGGTGTGATATATATTATATTATCACAATATCCTATACCATTGTAGATGGTTTTTTATGTGATTGTGTGTTTGGTTAAATTTTTCGTATCGGAAATAAAAACTTTAAACCTGAAGTATTTATTTGTAGAAGAACAATCACCCTTATGACAGTAGGGGTAGACGTGTTGAAAATTTGGCATTGTATTTATACGACAAATCGGTATTATGAAAATCGTTACAATACGACAAATTTGTCGTGAAAGATTTTGGTCCTTCTTTAGGAAAATTATAATCAAAATTTAGGGAAAGCATTTGCATTACCTTTATGGAAAGTTTATACATAAGAGTTTTCGTTCATGGCATTGGAGATGTATAGTACAGTACCTTTGGAGTGACAGTCACAAGATGCTATAAGTCATGCCACAAAATAATTAGGAGCAACCTGAATGTTTGGAAGAGCCGAGTCAAATAAGGATTTTATTCAGTATTTTATATAACAATCCGACCTTGATATATCCTTGAGCAGTTATAAAATAAAGGCCCTAAATTATAACATAGATGATAGATGACAATATTTAATTTATTCGTGATGCGTGTTCTGAAAATCTGATGAATAATAAATCAGTAATGTATGTAGAAACTAAAGTATGTGAAATATTTTGTTATTAATAAAAATAAGAATATAAATATAGTGGAGAATAGTGAATATAACGATTTTATAGTATAGAATAGTTACTTATTTGGGAATATAGTTACTTATTCAGGATTCTTTGTATGGTAAGCGTTCTGAAACGTTAACCAACAACTAAATTGCAACACTTATTAATGCATTCTTCTAAACTTTAAGTAAACTGCCAATTTTCATTGAATCCGGCTGAATATTAACGATTTTATAGGCTCAAAAAGCGAATTTTTCAAGACCCCTTGAATGAGAGGTATACCAAACCTTGGTCCGACCTATTCAGTTTTTTGTCAGTTGCTTTATGGTCCTATAAGATATAAGATTTTATAGGCCAAAAAGGGTAAAGTTTTCAAGACTCACTATATGGGAGGCATACGAAATCTTGCTCCGATCTATCCAGTTTTTTGTCAGTTGGTTTACAGACTTAAGTAGATACAAATTGCCAATTATCATTGAATTTGGTTGAAAATTAAAGATTTTGTAGGCCAAAAAGATTGAAATTCTCAAGACTCACAATATGGGAGGTATACCAAATCTTAGTCCGATCTATCCAATTTTTTGTTACTTGCTCCTTAGGCCAATAATAAGCACTTGTACAAAAATTTCATCCACCTATGATAACTCCTTCTATTTTTGGCCGCTGTTAATATGAACTCGTGACATAGTACGACGTTAACTTAACTTTATACGCCTTAAGAGCCAGTCTAAGCATAATTCCAAGAACGACGTGGAATGAATAAACCTGAATTTTCTCAAAACTTTGGGGTATATCAGCAATGTTATATCCTTCACCATACTGTGGTATAGGGTATTATGCCTTTGAAACTATGTTTTTAAAAGCAAAAAAAAAAAAAAAAAAAACGAGATAGACCCACTTTTAAGAATTTATTACTTTAAGATTTATGCATGTCCGTCTGTCCATAATTTTTAGTACATAATTGCAATGTTGTTCGTTATGCTCATATTGAAATCTGTGATTTGAAGATTTTTATTTTAGCACAATAGACAAACAATTTATTTTTCTCAAATATAAATAAATTATATGATTCATTCTTTCCCATAATAAAAATGTTCGTTTACTGCAATTAAAATCTGTGAGTTTCAATTTTTTTATTTTCTAAGCCGATTTTTTTTAATAAAAAAATCAAAGTCCTGTAATGTGGACCACTATTAAAAAATGTGACCTTTTCATCGGGAAAGTATTCTATCCTCTGAAAACTCTATACGCGAAATTACATCTGCTTCGGTTGGATAATGGAGCTGAGACCTTCAAAATACCGCAAATGGGGCGGTACCATTAAATGGGGGCTATTCTAAAACATGAACCCATATTTTTATGCATTCATTGCTACACAAGATTGAAATAAATTAAAATTTGTCACAACCTGCTTTTTAAGCTACTGGTTCGAACACATTTCCATTTGGTCCACATTACCCTCTAAGTTATTTTTTCGCATTTTTTGAGTTTGCATGGTACAAAGCAATATACAGAAGAATTTGCATTGTATAGTTGAATAGTAGTAATTTAGTTTTAATTAAATTCAGATTCATATGTAATATAATATTTGTAATTAGAATTAATTAATATTCCTATCTGATTTTCAAAACAAAACAATCCATTAGTTTTTCGTGTTTTTAATAATAAATTTGAATATTATTCACTTATCATAAGTTATAATGCATAGCTGTTTAAAAATAATTTTTTCTTTGGGAAAACTCCCCCAACAACCTTTAAAGAAATTAAGGTATGTTAATGGAACATTTACGTGCGAATTGTGGTGTATGTTTTGATTTGCTTTGTCTTCTTTAAGGGTACCCTTTGTGATATAAAACTGACGTTTTCTCACAGTAGTATGTTAATAGGCTCTAAAAATGCTTAAATACGTGTGATCGTTCAATTTGTCAATAACAGAAGCCAACAGTGTAGAGTAACTAAATGTACCAATATACTAGTGATTCATTTCGTTATACGTAATACATTAGGTTGGGGAAAAGAAATCTATTAGGCCGATCTTCGAAAATTTCGATAAAATCGGAGAAATGATCGAATTTAACCGGCATGTTAGCAGTCGTAGCATCGCCCAGGAGCTAAAAATCGACCATGAAACTCTTTTACGCCATTTACACAAAGCTGGATTCATGATGCAATAATAAGGTGATGTATCAAAACCAGGGTTTAAAATGCTAACGCCAAAATAGCAAAAACACAGAAAATTGGCGCACTGCTAACTAAATTCATCCTCAAACTATGCAGCACAGCCAAGCACAGCTGCAACAAATAGCAATACATTACGAATAATTTTAGCAAGCAAAACTAAAGCTTCTTGATCTTGTCAGCAGCTACAAAATAGCAATGAACAACTACAACATAATTGTCAACGCGACTAACAACCAAAGCTTACAATGAAGACTAAGCACCTTGACTGTGGCTGCTTAGCAAGATTTTTAGCAAACAAAACCCGAGCATTTTTCGAGTTCAGTGTTGCCCATTGAAATTTTATAAATTAAATGAGATAATTTAAAATGGCGATTATGATAATTTCATTTTTTCGAACAAAGACAATTAGTAATACTTGCTAAAGAGTTTAATTTAATATATTATTTAGTTTTTAGTACTATTATTGACAGTTTTAATTGCGATTTGACAAGCTTAAATTAAATAAAAACGCACAAAATGAAATGCCGTTTTTCTAATTCTGCGTTGGCAACACACAAACATAAAAACAACCCCTAGGCTGATTATTCGTCGGCAGCGAAATATGAATATGTAGTCGTACTGTCGATTAGTCATAACAAAAAAAGCTCGCTTGTGCAATACGTGCTTAGCACGGATGCTACGAACTAAAAAAGCTAGCCGTTTGCTGATTTAGTCATAATGTCAATATTTTTTAGCAGTAGCTCTGTAAGACTAATGCTAATATTTTTTGATGCTGCATTTTAAACCCTGATCAAAACAAAAACATTTTTTTGTCTCGATTATCTGTCAAATTTTTCCTTATAATAGGTTCGTTCGTTTACTTTCCCAGTAATATTTACTCAGTAAGAATTTGCAGAGAGTAAATACGATTTTTTCCTTTTCAAGAGAGAA